CCCCCCCCCCCAGTCCTCCAGGGCCTAGAAAATGCCTGGCAGAGTGTAGGTGCTCAATAACCTTTTAATGCTCAAACAATAAATTAATGAAGCAGAACCTGCTTCTTCCAGGAGGCAAGCCTTGAGTTATGTTTTGGAAAAAGTGATAGTACAAATTTGTGGAGAGAAAGATATTCTAGGTAAAGGAACACCCAAGTTCAAGGTATATTTATTTATTTAAAGATTTTCTGTGTACCTACTATGTGCCAGGTTCTAAACTAGATTCCGGGAATACAAAGGTGATGAAGACATTCCTTGCCTATAAGGGACTCAAAGTCTAAAGAGAGAATAGACATGTAACAAGAGTATAAAAAATGTGCCTTGTGTTATAACAAGATTGAGCCAGATGTGGGGGAACATAGAGCAAAGTTAAATGACATGAGGAACCACCATTCTCACCACCTCCTTCCACTCCTTCTCCAGGACAGACTCTCCAGGCAGGGTCTTCAGGGACTCAAACCAAAGTTTCCAAGGCCTTGCTTTTAATCCAGTAGGTTCTACTCTTTGCCATCAGTCTTCCCCCTGCTTTGAGGGCCTGGTGGCCAAGCTGCTTCCATTATTGCTCTCATCCACTGATCAGCTGAGGAGCTGATGGTTGCACTGAATCTTGGAGAATTTAGCAGATAGACAAGGGTAGATGGGGAGGGAAAGGGCATTCTATGCAGAAAGAAATGCAAAGGCTCAGAGACCTAAGAAGACTTGCATGTTTGCGAAAGTCAAGGAGTTGAGTGTGGCCGAGACTGGCAGGAGCCTGGCTGGGAGCAGGATGTAAAGGGTTTGTGTATGGCTCTAGAAGGCCACTCAAGGGGTTCTAGCTGGGTTGGGCAGGCCAAGAGGTTTGCGTTTTTGAGATATAGCTGGAGCAGCCATGAGAAGGGCAGGCTGGAGGGTAGCTGGCTGTTGCAATGGTACAAGGCAAAGGTCCAGTGTGAGAAGCACTGGAGATGGGAAGGGCGGACTTGGTGGGCACAGAGGGAGGTACATATGGGCTGAAGGAAGCACTGAATGGTGTTCTCCGCAAGTGCTCAGCACAAGAACACAGGACCCATCAGCCTCCCTTCACCCCACTTTGTTCACCCTTTAATCTGATGGGGACACAGAGCTGGCCTGTGAGGTGAAGCTGAAAGGACTTGCCTTCCCTGTCCTCTCTTCCTTTCAGCACCCACATAGGGCGCTCCATTATTCAGGCCTGCTCCCCCAGAGTCCCCTATCCTGGGTGTCCTCATAGCCATATCTCTACCATGCTCACCATCTCCCCCAATGCAATGTACCGGTACCCTGCCTGCCCATGGCAGCTCCTCTATACCCCTTAGGGGCCTCATTCACTAAACTTCATTTAAAAATGGAGAGAATCCCAGTCAGTGTGCTGAAAGGCAAAGGGCAGAGGGACCCCAGGCCCTCCCATCACTACAGTGCTCTCCTGGAGTAAGGCAGCCTTTGTCTCCTGCCCCAGGTGTGCTGTATATTAACACTGCACCTGCAGGAAAACTTTTACTTCTAAGAAACCATGGGGGAGGGGAATGCAGGGGCTGGCCTGGGAGACAGGTAGGGTCCTTCAAATCCCACTGATCCATTTATGTGTGAGGCTGGGTGGACTTTCTCTAAGCCCTCTCCATTCATACCATTTCCACAAAACCAAAACTCTCACCTCAAAGGACCAGATCTACCCAAAATATGGGAGGCCCACGCTCGGCCCACACTCGCCAAGGTGGTGTTTCCTGGTGGAGTGTGAGCGCTGGTTTAGATAAATGCAATCACCTGGTACAGTCTCGAGGCAGGAGGCGGGTTAACACAGTCCTGATACATAATTTACCAGGTAACCAGGACCGCCACTTTATGAGAAATCCATCCCTCTCCTGCCTTCTCCCTGGCCTGTGGGTGAGAGGTGCCCCAGGGGTCAAAGCTGCCTCCACACAGGGCAGCCAGTTGCCCCAGTAACAGTGTCTGGAACCCCTTGTTTTGTCCCCCAGCCTGTCACAAAACCCCTCTTCTCCTGGGGGAAGAGCACTAGCCTCTACCGATCCCACATCTTCATAGCCTGGCACAATGGGCTCCCACGGAGTACACAGTGTTTCTTATTGTGGCATAAAATGCCATAAAGTCAGAACAAAGAGGGAGCCCAGAGCCTTGATGGGCCTGCTGCTTCCTGCCAGGCAGAGAATACAAGCGATTGTTTAAAAGCCAGTGGTGAGGCAAGTGGCCAATTAGCAGGGCCTTCACCCCCACGGCCTGAAAATGTGATTCGGACCATCAGAATGGGTTTGCTATTCAGATCAATTGCAGAGAGGAAGCAAGTCTGCTCACGCTACCAAAATTAGAAGCCCTGAGCGAGCCAAGGTGGCCTGGGTCACGCGGCTGCCGGGCTGTTTAAGGCGAGGCTGAGCCCCGCAGGTGCACATCAGCGTGCCCGCGGCCCTCCGCCCACTGCCCCTGCCCTTTAAGGTGGTGGTAAAGCTTTCCTAGGACATCCCTGAGACTCGGGATTACACAGCTGTTCACAGTTGCTTTGGAAAAACAATTCATTTTTCATTGTCTTCTTTCTCATAGTTGTCAAGAAATTTCCCACAACCCAGACCGGAAGAAAATGAAAGTAGGTTTGGGGGTCAGTCCTGCCATTTTGAGGGTGTTTGCTAATTTACTCTTTTTTCTGTCACTGTGTTGAATCCAACACGGTGGAAGGAAGTAATGACCACCACCCAAGAGGCAAAAATAACCCCACCAAGCTTGGGAAACTCTAGCTGCAGTAATCAGGAAGGCGAGTCCAAGTACTGGATGCAGAGCAGATAAGACTTTTAATTCATCCGGAAAGCAAGGGAAAGGCCAACAAAAGGGAAGGCGGTCTTGTCCGGCGTAGGATGACTCGCTGCAGGTTTTTCCCTTTTCCTTTGCTGGAATTCTCCAGCCTGCAGTACTTGGGGAGCCTCTCGGGTTATCTTCCCACCCTGGAAGGGTGCTGTTTGGCCATTACCGGAAGGAACCACATTCAGTCACAAGCTGGTGGCTTTTATTGGGTTTCCTCACCATTCGGTCCAATCAAATGGGTCTGTGGGACTCAAAGATTGAACATGGAAAACAGGCCTCCTGGAAAAGATCCCTCTTAGGAGGCACACCTGCCTTCAAAGGGGCTCATTCTCTCAGAGAAAACCCAGCCGAAGAAAATGTGGTTAATTAAAGCAGGAGGGCCTGCAGTCAGACTCGGGAAGGCCCTCTCCAGCAGCAGGGAGAATCAACATTACAGTGATCTGAGCGGGGATGTGACAAGGCCGTCCCCGGAGGCTATTCTGGGTTGAAATTTTACAACTGCCTGCCCTCAAAGGTTTAGGGCAGTAAATCCCACACCGGCTTTGCCATCAGAATCACTGGGGACTTACCAAAAGTAGACTCCTGGGCCCCTCCCAGAGACTCGGGTCAGGCCAAGGGGTGACCTCTGGCGATCAGCGCGCAGCTGGTCGCGGGGATGCTTTGGGGGAACCCGGTCGACCTGCCTGGAGACGCTACAGGAGCTCACAGCCGCAGAGGGTGAGGCCCAGACGATGACTCCGGAGGACCCAGTTTACTATGCAGGGCACGCTCCTCTGAGAACCCGGGGGAGGGGGGCATTTTCAGAGACGTGGGAGGGGACCTGGGTTCACAAAGGGAGCCCACAGAGTCCCAGCCTTAGGCGCGACCGCGCTGCCCAGCGGAGCTCGGCGAGGGCGCAGCGCTGCTTCGCGTCCTCTGGGGCCACTCTGGCCGCCACCCCCGCATCCAGCACTGTCCCCAGGGCAGACCCAGAGCGGCTGCTCCCCCTCCGGCAGCCGGGGAGGGAGCGGTGCGGCCGAGAAAAGACCTTTGTGTCGCGGGCGCACACACCCCCTCTCGCGGAAAACGCCTCGGCGCCTCGCCTCGCTGGTCCTAATCTCCGCATTTGGCGAGACCCCTGCTCCGGAAAGGGCGCGCCAGCGAGCCGCCTTTGGGC